ATTTACTTTCTCCCCGCTCGACACTCGTGTTTTCCGGCTTCGCGGCGTGTTTTCGCAGCATACTGCAGGGTAACGGTGTTATACTGCGCTGTGCGGCATTCGGGTATGCGTGTTGGCGCAGAGCGTCGCATCCCATTACTATATTCGCAAAATGTGCAGTACAGTACAGTACTCTTCCTCCCTCCCAGTCACCGGTATTGCCAAATCCCCCCCCGCGCTCCCAGGGTGTCGGTATGTCGAATGTTTTTAAAAAGGGGTATTTCGCTCTGGAATTAACCCGATTGCTGGAATGACTTCGTGTCCCATGGCTGGCGTTTAGAGAGATGGGGGAGGAGGGGGAATGGTTTTGTGGTTATGATAGCTTAGGTCCATCTGGGAAAACTGTTTATTTCGCCCACGTGGGGCTCTGGGTTGTCGCTGAGGCTGATGGTGACCGTGAATAGCGGGGGTACTGTACAGTACAACCACAATCCACCGACCTCACTGCTTCGTACTTCTAGATCCCTGTGAATTCCGAATCCCTCTGCACCTCCTCTACACCGAAACCCCACCTGTCGCCCCGGACCACTCAGTGTACGGGACAGATTCTTCAGATCTTGGCCGTCCGGGATCGCGGGGTGGACTGTACCGGAAAAACCCTGATAACCAACTATCCCCGCGATCCATGTAATCTCCGAATTCTGAGACGGGAGCTCCGGAGAGGGTTTAGTTAATCAAAATATACAAGTATTTATCCCAGCTGCAACTATCTAGCGTTCGCTAACAAAAAAAGAACACCTGCCCAGTGCGTCCCCGCAATACCTCTGGTATATTAGCATTTTCCTGACATGGTAAAAGTATTTGTATGGGACCAACCTACCGGATGTTTTAGATTTTATTCACCGGTATTCGCAATTATCTTAACCTATCAAGCTAAACCTATCGTAGGCCGACGGGCTGATTTCCGTTGATAAACTGATAGTGGATCATCAGGGTTTTTTGTTACGGTACTGTAGTTACCGGTAGTTTTCTTGAGGTCGGAGGTTTTCTCTTGGTATCATAAAACTATTAGTTTTTAGGCACTCCGCATGAGGGCAGCTGGTGAAACTCCGATCCTGGATCGCTGCTAACTAGTTCTCCGCTCCGGGCGGTAAGATGCCTCCCGGATCGTTCATTAAACTGCTTTGGTACGAGTGCTAACCCTGTCTTTAGAGTTCCTGTGGAAGGAGGACATGCTTCACACCTTTCCCCGACGAAACCATCCATGGTGGACCCTTTGATAGGTTAAACACTAACTTAACGGCTCTATGATAAAAGCCAAGCCTTTGTATCATCAACCAAATAGATCATAGCCCGGCGGTTGTGCGAGGCCAGTTTTGCAGTGCTCTTCTGTACCTGATATCGTATATGCGGCGATTGCGTTTGCGATACCGTAAAGCGTTGTTCAAATCTTTTGAGAGGGTAACGGATAAACGGCACGTGAAGCCATGGAGGCAGGTACGGGTGCATGGCACGACATTGTAAATCTCCCGGGGAAAATTTGTTTTCATCTGAACGTATATTCTGTATCACCCTACACGTGTCGCAAATTTCCCCGGTAGCATTAAGATTCTGATCGCTTTTCTGGGGGGGGGAGAAGGAAAGTGAGTGCCGTGTAATTTCCTGATAATGGGATGGCTTTTGGGCAATTTTTTACCCTGAATAATTGAAATAGCGCTTCTGGGATTGGTTCAGGGAAATGGTTGTACCTTTTTCTTGTTGATATCAGCAAGCCAACGATTGATAGCACGGATGAGTTTCGGGCAAAGCATACCCTCTAAAATACCTACAAGCCTAGTAGAGCTCCCGTGATATGAACTGGGCGTGTATGCAATGTACTGTTTTTTTTTTTTTTTTTTAAAAAAAGCGTAAACTTAGGATGCTTACTCGGAAGTTTTTCAGGAAAACAGTTGACGCACACAGCGTCTCTTGGCTCATTGTAGATGGTTCTATGACCTGTGGCCCAATGAAAAGAATGCCACTTTAAAGGTGGGAACCGGAACACTCTCATATATATTCTCGATAAGATGGTATTCGAGGTTTGGGTGTGCGGTGGTGTAGAGCACAAAAGATTGAGCGGTTTTTGGAATAGGCAAGAGCCTCTGGCGGTAGGTTCGTGGAGTTGGCATCTCGGATGAAATCTATTGAAGCACTGAGGTATAAATCAAATTGATATCTCTAGAGAAAACGCATGGGTTTTAATGGAATATAGGGGGTTGAATTCTAGGAATCATAATTACCGGTAGTCCAATAGCTTTCTAAAGATTCGGAAAAGGAGAATTTCCTAAAACAGCTGAGGTAGCTGCTAGAGCAGCGGTAGCCTTCAGTAGCATGGCACGTTAGGGCGATTAGTATATAGGTGTGGGAGAAGAATCCCCAGGCTCTAATCCCCATCCAAGTGGATAGGGGGGCAGGGCAATATACTTTTGGTCATGTTGATTTTTTGTTTGAGTGGATCTGTTCTACATATTTCGCTGCCACCAGCAGGACTGCCTCTCCTTCAGAGTTTTTAGGAGGGCATGGAAGGAGGGCAATGGGTTCTTTAGGCTTTCTTACTATCAAGATTGTCAGATGTGGTAGCACGGTTTTCAAGGTGGTGGGATATTTAGAATTATTGGTAGCCCTGGAGGTGGCCTCGGTGCGATCTCTCTCTCGAGAAAAAGGTGAGACAGAGCCATCTTGGAAGCAAGACAATATGACTGTGACCAAGTGGAAAAGCATTCTGCCCAGATGACTTGTCTTGGAGGTGGTCAGATATAGGGAGTTGTCACAAGGGTGCTCCATCTTCTCGAGCGGGTGGTCCAATTGTGGTCCAAGTGTGGAGCCATGGAGCTTGAAGGTTTTAATTTCAAAAAGGGAGAAGAGGATATCCTTTGCTATGATGCTTGTTCTGTGAGTACTGTACAGGTATGTAGGTGGGAGCTGGCCAATATACGTATGCTATTACAACTTGGGGCACTATTTCCTCGAGACTTCACCCTGGGATACATGATATACGGCAAGAGGTTTGCTCGAAGATTATAGCTGGGTATTCTCTTGGACGTAGATAATACTATTGTTCTCTCTCCAGCTTTGCCGGCGCTATCTATGAGCCTTGTGAACTTTATATGTATGATATCATAATCAAATTTTTACGTCCACGCCTCACCACCCTCTTTCATTCACCTCCTTTGACCCTAACGGGATAACCATTTCTCGTTTTCTCGCATGAAGAGACTCTGGAACTTTTTGCGCACGTATCTGCTCGTAATTTCCTGCCCTTGTGAACGCGGCTGCTATCGCATATGGGCAAAAAATCAGCCGGAGGCTCAAGATTTTGGCGGTGCGCGATAGCAGTTGTGTTCGCGAGCGTCGGGAAATTGCGAGTCGCCCTTGGCCCCCGGTCTGGTGGGGGGTTTACCTCATTGTCCCCTATCGACTCCCCTTAGCGGTACAGACACTCTTTGTGGGGGCATGGCAGTTGTTTCTTTCGAAGTTTGAGTGCAGACCCAGCGCCGCATTGTGATACTGTTACCAATGCTCCTGTTACTTGTAACACTTGGTAAAAACTGATGGAGTTTTACCTGTACTGTACGTTCGTATTATGCCGCTAATGTTCGACCTACTTTGGCAACACCAGAAATACCGCTAATGGCTTACCGAATTGTAAACCTTGGTGGAACACCGGAACCCGAGTGCAGAGAGAAATAATATTCCCCCATGTCAGTTTTCGCTAGATTCTCTGCGGGAGTGTAGACGTTGAACTGTGAGATGGGAACCATACCTGTAAAGAGGTGAAAAAAACAAAAAGATGGCTTCGGTAGTCAGACGTTTGGGCCGTTATCACAGGGAAAAATATTGCTTTTCTCTCTCAAGTTTATGCTTTGCGGGCTACGAATAACAATTGAAAGGATTTCGCTGCGATCCTATCTTTCAAGAGGAACGAGTGAGGGCTGGATACACACACCGCTCTTGCAGGAAGCGGCATGGTGCAAATTAAGGAGAAGGCATGGGTAACACGACATGAACACGTTTTCCGGCCATCTCGGCACCGTCCTCGAGCCAAATCCTGGGTTCCCCACATATCATCAGAGCAAGGATTTATCTTCTCGAGCACCACACTAGAAGCTTTAGAAAAACAAAAAAAATATGAAAAAAAATAGAGGTTTCCACAAATCGTAGCTGCAGCTGGGGGCTGTGATGGGAATACGAGGAAAAACTCTTTGGGCGATTTGAGGCGGGGGGGGGCAAGTGGCCTTGGAAGCATGTAAGAGTACTGTACTTATGCCTCATAATGTGACGTTTGGAAAACGGACCGCTATTGCTTACCACGAAAATTCTGAGGTTCTGGCCGGTTTTTGACTGCAGGCAATAGTCTTTTTCGCAAGCATCTGGGAATCACTAATCATAGCACGCGTGGTTCAGACATGCACTGTTTTTTGTGCAATATATTTTGCGAATCCCTGTTTTTGGGTGCTTGTACGGTACTCGAGTGCCTTGCCTGCTACAGTACTGTGCGAGGGGTAGGCTCTAGAACTGGTGGTGAACAAGGATCACGCGATTAGGAGATATCATTATTGGGGCCCCCAATCTTAGATTCGGCTTTCTATCACAATTTTCCTCTTCGCGTTTTGCACTTTCTTTGGGCACAAGGGGGAATGCTGGCTGACTCCAGGCCGGTTCAGAATTTATGTTTCATGGGGGCCCCTCACTGGAGAGAAACACGCACATGGTACTGCTTCTGGAATCTTTCCTGCGAAAGAAGCGGAAGGTTTTGCGTGCTTCAGCTGTACTCCGAGCTCATGGAGTCGGAGTTGCTTTTATAGATTTTATTTTATTTTTTCCCACCGAAATACTATTCGTGCCCCAGGAAGGGATGGATAGGCGGGTGGGCGGGCGCTGGGAACTTGGAGATAAAAGGGCATCTGTGCTATCATGATTTCCTGCAGTGCTCAAGTACCTCGATATCCATAGCTCCATATTTCCCTAAATCTCAAGCAACCATGGCTCCTCAAGGAACAGTCCTCATCACCGGCGCAAATGGCACACTAGCGACAGCCCTCGTCGAGAACCTCCTCATCAACTATCCCGAACACCCCCTTCTTTTAGCGGTCCGGAATACCTCCGACTCCGATGTGCATACCAAGAACCTCCGCCGCCTCTCTTCCTGTCACCCCTCTACTCCAGTCCATATCGAACCTCTAGACCTTTCCTCGCTTGCCTCGGTGCGAACGTTCACCACCACTGTCACATCCCTAATATTATCCGGCACCATACCCCCGCTTGCTGCGATCGTCTGCAACGCATTCTCATGGAGCCTCAATAGTGGAATACAGTTCACACAGGATGGTTACGAGTCCACATTCCAAGTCTGCCATCTCGGCCACTTCTTGCTAGTCCTACGACTCCTCGCTTCAATGGAGGGGACCGGTCGAGTAATAATAATCGGCTCGGAGGAGCATTCTGACGAAAAGCCTAGCTTGATAAGTCCTTATCGCCCCGGGATCCCGGAGAAGGTCGAGGAACTTGTTAAGCCTGCTCCCGAAGATGCAAAAACCACCTTCAATAGAGGTTTCACGAGGTATGCTACTGCGAAATTGTGTCAGACAATGTTCATGTATGATCTGGGAAGGCGGCTTTCTCAGGTATGATATCCCTATTCCACCTCTCTCTTGGGTGGCACAAATCTAACAGGATATAGGATCCAAACCTCTCCGGTATTACAGTATCGGTACTCGATCCCGGCGGCATGCCCGCATCCCGCTGCTTTGTCCAACATCCTACTGTGGTGAAGTTGCTCATGAACTACATCTTTGCCCCGGCAGTGCACGTACTTAAATACGTCACTAATAAGTTCCGCACTCCTTGGGATGCAAGTGTTGATGTTGCAGATGTCGCTGTGGGAGATCTTGGTAAAGAAAGCGGGTATTACGTTTGCAAGAGGAAGATAGAAGGTAGCTGTGCTAGTCGGGACGACACTTTGCAGGGTGTTCTGTGGAGGAAGAGTATCGAGTGGACAAGGTTGGAGAAGGGAGAGACGGTCTTGGGGTCGACTTTTGCTTGAGATTATCTTTTTTTGTAGCGGAGTTATATATTTTTTTTGTATTTTCTTGTTAGACAATGGAAGGTTTTTGTTCTTTTGTTTTGCTCTGCTTTGCTCTCCTGTTTTCGAACTCCTTATCTCGGTCGGCGCAGAGCTGGCCCTTCATCTTGGATTGTCCCTTGGTCAATCAATTTGCTTCGGCCCAAGCCACCCCCAAGACGCTCTTGTGATTATTACCGCCTAATGCCCTTTGACATAGCCATGGCATCCGGTAATTTACACATCGATCCGCATATTTCTGTGTCAACATTCCACCCTCCACATTTGCTGGGAAAATATCGCCCTATACCATCTCCACAACGCTGGCCCCGGCACCCTTCTGGTCCTGAGATTTTGTCCACACAAGTTGAATTACCACAGGTTTTTGAGATCGAAAAACAATTCTGGTTATATAATATTGTGATAGCATGGGTCACTTAGACTTGGTATAGACTTCGTCTGTACAGCACAATAAATCATCCG